ATTTCTAAAGAGGGCCGAAACAAGAAAAGATGGGACCATCTTTACTTACATTCCCTTTACATTCCACAAGTTTTGAAATAGCTTACAAAGGGAGCTTAATTTTTCATCTTAGTGTAGTCGTTTGCAAGCGAAAAAATCAGGGTAAAGGAAAATAAAAATATGAAAGATAATGTGAAACCAAGACTGGCCAAAATATAAGCAATAAAACCATGTAAGCTCTGCCAAAATTGAGCCCCATATTTGGTTAGTAACAACCATCCACTAATCTGAATAAGGCATTTCATAAAAATTGATCTTAAACAAGGTTTTACTAATAATTCACATAGACTACATAAGATTATCTGAGCTGGAATTTAAAATAAGGCCAATTATGGCTCTAACTGTCACATAAAAATTTTATCAATTTTTACTGATTAACACAAAATAGTTCATGGCTTTTTCCCTTATACCTCGAGTTCTATTTTATTAATCACTTACTACCACCTCTTTATTATCCTGTTAGAAAAACAACACTTGGAGGAAGCCTCATGTCTTTGACTCTGTCATCTCTACAACAAGTAAGTGACAAGACCTAGTAACTCTATCCAGAACTGAGAACATCTCGGTGCATTCACTGCCACGTCACGGGTTCACCGTCAGGACTCGGACCGAACCACCCGACTGGAAGCGAGCAAGCTTACTTACCCGGCCACGTCGAACGACTGCGCCTTCTGCAGCTTAGTGCTGGACTGTGGCCCTGGACCAGACCTACTAAAAGAAGAACTCTTTGGCAATGTGGCTGCTGTAAAAATAAATAAATGTTGAATAATTTTAATTCTACAAAGATGAGAAACTTTTCCCTATTTACAAAAATTAAAACGCACAGCCACCGAGTCTGTGGCAAAATTATGCCGCCTTCCTTCCCGTCCTGGACTCAAAAGAGGAGTTGTCCCCACCTTGCCTCCCGTCCTCTTGCCAAAAATGCTTCCAGATTTACTTGTTCCTACGCAGAGTCCCCTTACGAAGCAGTAATGTTCGTACCCACAACCCCTGACTTTTCAGGACACATTTAGCGCCGCATCTGCAAGGACCTGCCCACAGTTACAGCAGGAGCGGCCTAAGGGCCCGGATGGCACGCTCCTGACGGCACCCAGCGAGCTGCAGCGTGGGTCTCAGGCGCGAGGGCCACAGACCGGCAGTCCTGGCCAGGGCCACGGGGCACTAGGGAGGGTCAGCGTTTGTGTCCGATTCCCACTGAGGCTGCTTAGCTGGGGCCCGGGGAAAAGAACCGTGAGCCCCAGGGAACGAAGCCCTCATCCTGGCCTGCAGTCTCACAACACCTGCCACTAGCCACAGAGGGAACCCCGAGGGCGGGGGTCACTGGCATCGCTGGAAAACAATGGCAAGCACGCTGCTGGCTGCCACCACATCTGCAGTCACGGATGAAAGACGAACTACCCGTGACAGGAGAATCTTTTCAAAAAGGGGTCCGCTTACACTCTCGGGCTATCACTTAAAGACACATCCGGACAGACGTCACAAACCCAGGGGGCGAGGCACAGAAACGACGACTCGAGTGTAACGCTCAGTGCCGCGCTGTCCTCACCACGGCCTTTACTCAGACATACGCAAAATACTTTAAAACATGTCCTTTCCTTATCGCTGCGAGTGCAGGAAATGTGTTAGACCGAGGCTGTCTACCTCTATGCCTTGATGCTTTTAATTACAGGGAAACAGACTTTGAATAAAGTCTTGCCATTCAACCAGGAACTTGTTAGTCCTTCTCGTCAACTAAGCGGATACGGACACCAGGACCTCAGTCTGCTCAGCCACTAACAGGACGGCTGCCCCTACATCCCGCCCGGTGCACCCCGCCTCTCCTTTCCCACGGCAGCGACCAGGAGCGACGCTCTCCCTCCCTCCCCCAGCCCACCCCCCAGCCCTACCCCCCACAGGTCTACTCCGAAGGGATGGACTTGTTTATTAGCAGTTCAGAGCAGCTGAAGAAAAGCAGTAACGGCCACATGGAAATACAAAATGTTCAAACTGCTATTCAAACTTCAGCTGCTCTTGTCAAGCCCCTGAAGGGAAGTAACGCTCTGGCTTCAGCTGCCAGTTCACCCTTGTGCATGGTGGTGGTGCCCAGAGTCCTAATTCCCTCCCCTTCCCCCTCTCGAGCCTGGCACACCCCATTTGGCATGTTGAAAAAAAAATGAGAAATTAAATGAAAACATGAAGATATTTTCCTGTGGAATAAAGCAGCACTCGAACATCATCAGCAAGTAAAGACAGGAGACTGACTGAGAAGCCAAGTTGAGAAAATTCAGCCCGTGGCTTCACTGGGTCACATACCAGGATGAGCGAATGCAGGCAGAGGCTGGATGACAGGGGCCCCGTTGGCCAGGGGGGGCACCGCTGCTGGAGGGACGGAGGGGACCAGGGGCGGGGACATCCCGACCACGGGGATGGGTCCCATTGGCACTGGAGCCACGGCCGGGAGCGGCGGCATGCTGGCGATGCCTCCCATACCTGCAGAGGAAGAGAGGCCGACAGGGTTCACACGGGGTCGCACGTCAACATTCAAGGACAACTCACCCAGGACTGCGTGAAGAAGAAATCACTGTCCACGAGTCACAGATTCCCATGTAAATCACGAATTCAAAGTGGTCATTTTGAAGAGTACCAAAAGCTATGTCAAGGATCAAGACCCACCTGAAGAGGGATCTACTGGCCACAGTTCAGGATCCATCCAGACGGAAATTGCAAGGCACCGAAAGCCACCAAAGAGAATTAAATTCATGAATGCATACTGGCATTTTAAAACAAATAAGCCGAAAAATCCTAACTGGTCAATTTATTTTTAAAACCAGTAAATAAAAGGGAAAGACTGAATCAAATATTTATACCCTGTCTTTCCTTTACACGCCGCACCTCTGAGTAACCAAACATTTGCTGCGGAGGTTTCTCCTTAGAGAAGCATTCCAGCCCAAAATCGAAGAAATGCCAGAACTGAAAGGAGCGTTTCCTTCCTCTCCTGTTTCTGTCTCAGCTCACGACCCTGGGACGCAATGAGAAATCTCTACAGCTGGTCTTTGTCCAGCTCCTGGTTGCCGCTGGAGCGCCCGAACCCCTGCGCTTTCCCGACCGACAGGGACGTCTTTGGCTGGGGTATCTGGTCTTGGCCCCAGGGTCCTGACCCAAGAAGTTCTCAGACCCCTGGAATGTCTGGCGAGATGCCCTTCTGTGTTTGAATGAGGTGGCTGGGGGCAAGGGGTCTCTAACAGCGGCAGGACGGGAGCTGGTGACAGGAAATAGTGCGAAGGAAGGAATGGTTACAGGACTCAGAAGCCCCGCGCCACCCCTACCGCACGCAGACAGACAGACCTCAGCGCAGGGCCAAGGCCGGAGGCTGAGACTAGCCATGGCCCGTGGTTACATCAGCCCTGCCCACGTAACGAAACCTCCGTGAAAACCCCCGCGAGACGGGCTGCGGCGGGCTGGAGAACACACCTGCTACACGCCGGGGGGAGGGGCACCCAGCCTCACGGGCACTCCTGCGCTCAGGACCCCTCCGGACCCCACCCGGGGCGCGCCTTCGTCACATCCTTTATTTAACACGCCAGCAAATGCATGTCTCCCCGAGTTCTGTCCGCTGTTCCAGCAGACTACAGAAAAGGAGAGAAGCCACACAGGAGCATAACTCATAACTCACGCGAGGCCAGTCTGGTGGGAGCGAGCCCTCCCACCCGGGGAATCTGACCAGCTCCGGGCAGGGAGGGCCAGAACCGAACTGAGTTTAGGATACTAAGTGTGTCCGGAGAGTTAAACCGCTGGTGGACACACAATTCCTGGCTCCTTCTTCCCTTGAGGATCCCACACACGTTACTCCGTTTTCCTTCTGGCGCACAAGGCGCATCCTCTCCCTTTCTCTCCTCTGAGTCACGGGCTCTCCTTCCCCACTCGCCCACGCAGCTTTCCGTTTTACTAGAACGTATGTATTCTAGTGCTGTCTTCCCAAGCCCGTGCCCTCGGACACACGCAGTGCCCGGCCGGATCCCGTTCCCAGTCTGTCCCTGCGGGGAGGTGGTCTGAGCGGTTTCGAGCAGGCGCCCCGTCCTCCGCTGTGGTTTGCCCCTCGGAGGCCCCGCCCGGCCCCGTCTGGGACCCCCCTACAGCGTCAGCCACTGTTCCCAAACCCTGTCTGTCTCCTTCCTCACGGCCTCTGAGTTTCCCAAATCCTCCTCTTTTTACCCATTTCTCCCCAGACAGTACAGCGGTGTCGCTCCTAGTTCACACTTCGTTTCTGAAATGACTTTTCCTTTCATTTCCCCCTCTCCCCGAGCTCTGTCACCCTCTTTCTGAAGTTCTGAACTTCTGCCGCAGTTGTCCTGTCCTGCTATGGCCCGCATCGCTTTCTCAGCACTGGCTCGTTTTGAAGTAGCAGCTTACTGGCGTGCTGTCGTTGTTGATGCAGGGGGGGGGGGTCCTTTGGCTTTTCTTTCCTCTCCCCCCCCCAATAACAACTTGTGTGGGCTGTGACCTTGGCAGATAGCGCCTGCTGCTCATCTGCACGTGAACCTTGCTTCCTGGGACTCCCAGGAAGTCTCCGCTCCCCTCCCCTCTTCGGCCTGGGTCTCCCTTTTTGGTGGCTGTGCCCCGGCTGCCCCGCTCAATTCTGACTGCCCTCACAGTCGTTTCCTCTCAGCGCGGGGTCCCGGCCCAAAAGGAAGCCTTGTTGGGCCAGTTTGGGGAATTCCCAGGACCCGGACGGCTCCAGATGGTTGGTGCGGGTCTTCTTACCCCGGGAGCCGTCGCTGCAACTGCTCCCTGACACCCTGATTCTCAGTGAGGCTCTCAGCTTTTAAACACCCGCCACGAAGACTCCGTGCTTTCTTTACCAAATGACTACCTTTTCTGAACAAACATTTTCTGTATATTTTTAAATATACACATCCACCAAGTCTGTGTTTTGGGAGCCAACCCCCTTGACTGGGCCGAGTTTTGTGTTTTGTTTTTTTTAACACGTGGGGAGCCATCACACAGAAAATGTGGCAGCTCGACAGGGCCCATCGGCAGGGACCGCACGTCGCGACATGTGCGACTGCCCACGGCGGCACTGGACGCCGACAAAGGCATCGGTGCCGGAACGGTCCCAGACCCGGTCTTCCTTCTGGACACTCTCTCCTCAATCACCAGGTTCCCCCATTTAAGTTCTCCGTTGTAGCATTCAAAGGCACTGAGGAAAAGAAACTCCAAGTCCCCAGAGGCGTTATGGAGCCCGCACCCTCCGGCTCCGGCCGCACGCCCTGCCCTGGAGGCTCGCCCCGCTCGCACTGCTGGTGCTCACTCCGAGCTGGCTTCCGCCGCCAGACCCTTCCGATCGCCGGTCCTCTGGCCGGGGGTCCTCTCCCTAGGCTGTCACAGACTCTCCCCTCTACATAGCTCAGAAATCGTCTTCTTGGAGGAGAACCCTCCCCTGAGCGCCTGTCCCACCGGTCTCCACTCTGTCACCTTGATTATTTACCCACTGCCTGGCTCTCCCCAGCTGACAGGCAGCAGGAGCCATGCTGTCTCGCTTGCCACCACGTCCCCATCAACAGGGACACAGTCAGGGCTTAAAAATATCGGTTTATGCCCTGGCTGGCGTAGCTCAGTGGATTGAGCGCGGGCTGCGAACCAAAGCATTGCAGGTTCGATTCTCAGTCAGGGCACATGCCTGGGTTGCAGGCCATGGTCCCCAGAAACCGCACATTGATGTTTCTCTCTCTCTCTCTCCCCCCCTTCCCTCTCTAAAAATAAATAAAATCTTTTTAAAATTTTCTAAAAATATATATATATTGGTTTACTTCAATGAAACCATGGCCTCCGGTCAAAAATAAATAAATAAGCACACCTTTAAAAAGCAAACAGAAGAAGAGTAACTTCTCCTGAAACAGGCGGGCCGGGGCACAGAAGAGCCGCACCACAAGAGCCCTGGCCGCGTCCTCGGCGCCTGGCCGGAGCAGCGGGAGCCCTTGGGTGCGCCCCGACATCGCCGCGCCCGCCCTCTTCCGTCCGTCCGTACAGGGCAGGACAGTGTGCGGCGGCCATGTAACCCGGTGGGCCAGCAACGGGGTCAGCCCACGCAGAGCCCGAGACGAGCGACGTCTCATGCCACCAGGCGGCTGGTGAGACGAAGGTGGGGAGGCGGGGAGTGAGGAAACAGAGGGCCTTCAGAAAAACTCTGTTCGGACGAGCGCTACCTCCCTCTTTAGAAATGCAGTCTAGTTAAGCAAAGTGTCCGACTCCTTGGAATCTCAATTTTCTCCTTTATGTAACAGGGGGGTTATTGTTGAGGCAAAAAAACTACTATGTGTGAAGATCTACTGTATAAGGGCTAAGAAATGCCTGGTGAGATCATGTTTAATATTATTAGAAAATAACAGTAATAGTAATAAGTTATTTTGTTCTCGCGTAGCCAAAAATGTAAGGGAAAAAACCACCCTGGGTTGGGCTGGGACAGGGGACTGAAAGCACGGGCAGCAGAGGCCAGACCCCTGAATACACTCACTCGGGCCAACTTAGCAGGACCGTGTACTTGTAACTTGTCTCGCACTCTGCGGCTCCCTGGGACCTGCCCTCGTGGAAGGACTTCACTGAGAACGTGCGTGCGGGGAGAGGGAGGGGCCGGCAGCGGAGCAGCCCGGGGGAAGCGCCGGGCAGGCTGTCCACTCAGCGAGCGGCAGAGGCAGGCTACCGAAGTGGCCGGCAAGCCCACTGGGCGGGGAGGCCAGCGCCTCCTGACAGTGAATCTGCCGTGCCCCCGGAGCTGAAATTCCTGCCGCAGAAATTCCTGCCGCAGAACGGAACAGGAGACGGCGTGTCAAATGTCAGAGGAGGAACTACTGACACCAGACCCGAGGTAAGAAGGGGAAATGGGATGCTTCTGGTTATCTGACCCTTTCTCCACTGAGGTTTCTTCTTGCAGCTCCGGAAGGGAAGCTGTTCCAGGGCACGGGTCCTGACCGAACAGTGGCCACGGGGACCTTCAGAGATTCTGAGCAACGCCCACTGGAGCAAGCTGGTTAACGAAGGGCTAGGCCCCACGGACACAGGAGGGACGGACGGGGGCCCCGGCCGCTGGAGGCCTGTGGCGCTGCTTCCCTTCTTCTCTTGGATCACTGTCCTGCTTGCCTAACTCAGAACCTGACCTTTCCCCTTATTAAAACCAGTCTTGTGGCTGAACCTCACCAAAGAAAGGCGATGCACGGTTTGTTTTTAACAGCAATCTATCAAGTAAAACCACAGCATTTACTTATCTCAGCTTCTCATCGACTGTACCGGAGATGACCGGAGCCACACTGACTGCCCCTCCCCAATCCACTTCCCTTTATCACCTGTCATCAGATACATGGGCGAGAACTTGCCCATAAATCAGATGTGATATCTGATTGCTGTAATCAACCGAAACAATCAAAGTCTAGGGTAAGGACACAGGAGAAATCAGAACAGCTGATGATCTCAGTCAACTGATTACTGATTGATTGATTTTTAAGAAAAAATATCTGGCTAAAAGATAACATTTTATAGAGTTATGTTTATAATGGGGAAAACACCGTTTATTTTTTTTCCTGCTTCATTTTATGCTGAGAGAATTTCACGGGGCCAGTTGCCTCAATACCGTGAACTGAAGTATTTGGGATACTGCAAACCGAAACAGTTGTTCACACAGAAGGGAAAATAAAGGTGTATGGAAACAGAAGACCAAAAGGAAGCACGGGGCACCGCGAGGGTGGAGAACCCGCCGTGGCAGGGAAACGCCGGGTGGCACGGCTGCGGACGGCGCGGCCGCCCCCGCTTCCACGCTGACCACCTGTCCAGGGTCACAGCGCGGGCTCGCTCCCCTCCCCCAGCACTGCCTTCCTGCCTGGGGCCGTCAGTGTTCAGATGGAATTACCCCCTTGAGTTTCACACGGCCAGAAACTGAGAGGGGGGAGAAAAGGGGAACACTGATTTTTTAAACAAACGGCGAACACAGGAACCAAGTCCCCTCCGGACTCACCGAACGCCGGCGCGCCGGAGAGAGCCACGGGCTGCTGCTTCATGACCGGGGGCAGTGCGGCGGGCAGCTGGTACCCCTGCAGCTTCAGTTTGATGAGCTTCATGGCGATGGAGAACTCCACTTGATCCATCCTCCCGTCATTGTTCATATCGGCCAGGGCCCTGCAGACCAACGGCAGGGCTTAGAAGACTGCGGCCGCCCCCGCCCCCGCCCATACAAATAAAACAATCAAGCCCCTGAAACCTGGAGGGAACGGAACACAAGAAACAAAGCAACACGAAAAATTGACTTACCAAGTAGAAAGTAAGCTGGAAATTCTGACACAATTTTATATAAATATAAAATACTTTTTATTATGTGATACACGAGGTAATTTCCAGTCTGAATGCCAGGATATGTACTTTGGGGGTCATACAGGGTTTCTTTTTGGAGGGATGAAAATGTTCCACAGTTGGGTAGTGGTGATGGGTCCAGAACTCAGTGGACAGACTAAAAATCCAAGGAACTGTGCACTTTAAAAGGATGAACTTTATCGTGAATTATGTCATACAAGCATGGAGTCCTAGTTGGTGTGGCTCGGTCAGTTGGAGCGTCACCTCGTAACCAAAAGGTTTCAGATTCAACTCCCGGTCAGGACACCAGTCTAGGCTACGGGTAGATCCCTGATCAGGCACCAATGGGAGGCGACCAATCAATACTTCTCCCTCTCCCTTCCTCACTCTCTAAAAGCAATGAAAAAAATGTTCTTGGGTGAGGATTAAAAAGAAGTACTAGGGGACAAGTTCTCCCCTGGCCAGGTAGCTCAGTCAGGTGGAGCGTTATCCCACGCACCCCAAAAAGGTTTTGGGGTTCCGTCCTCGGTCGGGGTGCACACCTGGGTTTTAGGTTCCATCCCTGGTCCAGGCGCATGAGGAGGGCAACTGATTGATGTTTCCCTCTCACTCTCTCTTCCTTCCTCTCTAAAAATTACTAAAAACACATCCTCAGAGGAGGGTTAACAAGGAAAGTACTCAGCAACGGAACGTTTATTTCTAGAGATAACTGACTGGATGATGCGCCAGCTCCTCCGCGGGGTTCCACGCCCCTCACCGCGGGGACACGGCATGCTGTGCTGGAACTCCACTGCGCTTCTAATTCAATGAGCTTCCAAGCGTGTTTACTATTTGAAAATGGGACTGAAAAGCAAATGGTCACGTGTCACTTGCAATGCCCTCTTATGTGAAGTATATGTTCTTGCAAAGACAATGAGAGAAAGAAAAAGGTTTGGCCTCACAACTGCAAACTACACGACACAAACCGCTGTGCGTGTCCACGACCTGCTGCTCCGGTCAGCACGCCGGGACCAGCACTCTTTTACATGAGCCACATCCAGGGAGTGTCCCAAAGAGAACGTGTTAAGTTCCACGGAAAATAAGCTTATAGTAATTAATAAGCAGTAACAGTACTGCTAGAGTTAACTCAGAGAGAGAAAATAGGACACAATAAAAATGCCTGACAGATAACAAACATTAAAAATCTCTAAGGATGTTAAAAATTGTGAAGTCAACACTGTTCTTTTGGAAAATTTAAAAAAGGTCACGAAGCAGGAAAGGGAGCTCCTTTCCCACGCAGCTGGAGCCACCCTGGCCCCCCCCGCCCCCGCAGCAAGGACCCCCGGCGGCAGCCCACCCGGTGGTGGACTCAGAGTCTCACTCACTCCCAGGGGCCTGAGCACTGCCCGCCCCAGGCTTCTGGGCCATCTGCAGGCAGACGCGAACTGCCCGCGCTTTGCCAAGGTTTCCGATAGACTGCACGTCTTTTCTAGCCCGTTTATCAAAACTCCCTGTGTGTTATATATGAACTACTTCTCGGTCAACGGATGGAACATTTTTAAAAAATTGTTTTATTTGTTCATTTTGTGTATGGTATCTTTTCTGTAAAAAATTCTACATTTTTATATGTATTTATTATACAGCTTGTAGACTTTCAGTCCTTTATTTTCTGAAATTCTTTTATTCCATTTCCCTCCGCAAACCGACCGTAGCTGCACGCATATGTGCGGGGCGTTGTCCGGGACTCAGCCTCGTTCCCTCCAGAGGCTTGCCGCGGCTTCCCGGCAGTTTTATCAACGAAC